TAGTATACCATTTTGTACTGCTTGGATTTCTTATATTTTTAATAAAAGCATTCGTTACTAAAATAATAACGACATGCAGAGTTCAGAGGGTCAGCTGGGTTTTTATCTCTGAGCCACAGACAGGTCAAGAATGTTGGGAAGTCCTCCTTGATGTTTATGGAAAGTTAATATTTATTGAGCAACTCCTTGGTGCTAAGCAATTCCATTTGCTTGTCTAATCCACACAATAATCCAGAGAGAGAAATCTACCTCATAGACAATCAACTCAGTTTCCTTGGAGAAGAGACCTGAGTTAAACTGCTTATTTTTCTTCAGACTATTGATTTTTCTATGAGAGGTGAGCAAATTGGGAAGAAAAGAACCAGCTATGAGGAACGTAACAGAGAAGTTGCATGGGACTTACTTATATCAGAGAAATTAGTCAGTTTCTTCAAAAATTATTCATTTTTATCTGAAATTCAAACTTAGCTGGGCATCCAGTATTTTTTTAGCTTTTTACAAATGCAGATCTAATTGAGAGAAGACATTATATTAGTTTCAGGTGTGCAATAGGATTCGCTATACATATATATTTTGCAATGATTACTACACTAATCTACTTAACATTCATCCAGTATTTTTTTCATGTTTTTTAATCTAATATGTAAATTGAAGACTCTTTAGGTGTATTTAAACCATATATAGTACATCAGATAGAATTATTTGCTATATATTCTGGGGATTGAGACCACTATTTTACTGGGTTTTTTTTTCCTATTCTGGTTTTGTTGTTGTTGTTTTTGTTTGTTTTCCTTTTTCTAACTTCCTGTTGGTTACCTGTATCATTTTTAGAATTTAACTTTAATTATCTATAGTGCTTTTGGGGTTTAGCTGTTTGTATAATTTTTCCAGTGGGTGCTTGAGGCATTATATAATATATATTATATATAATAATATAATAAACTTATCACAGCCTACTGGTGTCAATATTTTTCCAGTTTGAGTGAAGTATAAAACTCTTATCTATCTTTACATGCCATTATTATAATATAGTGGTCTTTTTTCTTATTTTCTTACATTTTTTCTAGCTTTAATAAAGTATAATTTATAAATATATAATTATCTTAAATATTACTTCTATATATGTTGAGAACCACATCAGACATAGTTATGTTTTGTTTCAACAATCAAACATAATTTAGAAAGCTCAAGAAGAGAAAGCAAGCCCATTGCATTTACCCATGTTTTTGCTTAACCATGGTTCTTTCATTTTTCATGTTCTAAGACTTGATTCCTTCTTTTATTGATTCCTTTCTGCTTGCATGCTCAGTTGCTTCAATTGTTTCTGACTCTGTGCAACCCTATGGACTGTAGCCCACCAGGCTACACCATGGGATTCTCCAGGCAAGAATACTGTAGTGGATTGCCATGCCTCCTCCAGGGGATCTTCCCAACCTAGGGATCGAATCCATGTCACATATGTCTCCTGCATTGGCAGGCAGGTTCTTTACCACTAGCACCACCTGGGAAGCCCTCCTTTCTGTTTAACCCCTATTAACTCAGAAAATTGTTTTCTTTTTTTTAGGGAATTAACCTAAACAGCCAATTTTCTTGCACATTTCTGTTAATCAAAGTTTTACAGTGCTTGTAGAACCTTGGCATCGAAAAAGCAAGAGTTCCAGAAAAACATCTATTTCTGCTTTATTGACTATGCCAAAGCCTTTGACTGTGTAGATCACCACAAACTGTGGAAAATTCTGAAAGAGATGGGAATACCAGACCACCTGACCTGCCTCCTGAGAAATCTGTATGCAGGTCAAGAAGCAACAGTTAGAACTGGACATGGAACAACAGATTTGTTCCATATAGGTAAAGGAGTACGTCAAGGCTGTATATTGTCACCCTGCTTACTTAAGTTATATGCAGAGTACATCATGTGAAATGCTGGGCTGGAAGAAGCACAAGCTGGAATCAAGATTGCCAGGAGAAATATCAATAACCTCAGATATGCAGATGACACCACACTTATGGCAGAAAGCAAAGAAGAACTAAAGAGCCTCTTGATGAAAGTGAAAGAGGAGAGTGGAAAAGTTGGCTTAAAGCTCAACATTCAGAAAACTAAGATCATGGCACCTGGTCCCATCACTTCATGGCAAATAGATGGGGAAAGAGTGGAAACAGTGATAGACTTTATTTTGGGGGGCTCCAAAATCACTGCAGATGGTGACTGCAGCCACGAAACTAAAAGGCGCTTACTCCTTGGAAGAAAAGTTATGACCAACATAGACAGCATATTAAAAAGCAGAGACATTACTTTGCTAACAAAGGTCCATCTAGCCAAGGCTATGGTTTTTCCAGTAGTCATGTATGGATGTGAGAGTTGGACTATAAAGAAAGCTGAGCACCAGGGAATTGATGCTTTTGAACTGTGTTGTTGAAGACTCTTGAGAGTCCCCTGGACAGCAAGGAGATCCAGCCAGTCCATGCTAAAGGAGATCAGTCCTGGGTGTTCATTGGAAGGACTGATGTTGAAGCTGAAACTCCAATACTTTGGCCACCTGATGTGAAGAACTGACTCGTTGGAAAAGACCCTGATGCTGGGAAAGATTGAGGGCAGGAGGATAGGGGACGAAAGAGGATGAGATGGTTGGATGGCATCACCAACTCAATGGATATGAGTTTGAGTAAGCTCCGGGAGTTGGTGATGGACAGGGATGCCTGGTGTGCTGCAGTCCATGGTGTCGCAAAGAGTCAGACACGACTGAGCAACTGAACTGAACTGAGAACCTTGCAAACATCCCTTCCCAGGTATGTCAGTGACATTGAGTTTGTGCTAATGAGGCCCTCTGCTGTCTGCAGAGAGAAGGGCAACACCATAAATCTAGAGGATGTAGGAAATTTTTCTACACTGAAACAAGGCAGAGCAGTTTATAAATTACATTCAATTATCACAGTAGCCGATTCCCAGACTTTGGGGACTTGTAATGCCATAGCTCTTTTCAACTTCAAGATACTCTTTCCTTCTCTTCTCACAGAAATGTGTAGTGAGATAGTTTGAAAATGAAACATGTCAAACTACATTTTGGATATTTAGTGACAAACTCTCTCCTTAACCCCCAAATTGGGAGACAACTTGGAGCTTCATGGAGGTAGGTCTGGGCATGGCAGTCAGTACCATTTGCCAGAGAAAGGAAAAGACTCACAGGGGCCAACCTGGAATATGGAGTGGTACTAGCCTGGAACCCTCCAGGGCCTTTATTCTGCCGTATTGAGGAGGAAATACAATAGTGTCAGAGCTGAGGGGCCAGGTCCACCTTAACCTGTGGAGAGGGGGCTGGCTTTCCCATGAGCATTGCTCTCTGTTCCATCTAGGCCTTTGCCCAGAAGAGTCTTGAGTCAGGGCATGAAGGGAGGCAGTGGCAGCTGAGTTTGCTCCCAAGCAGGGGAAGGAAGCCTGTCAAAAGGGAACCTAATGCATATTCCCAGGAAGCGGGGGAAGGACACCACAGCACAGCTACTATCCCCACTGAAACTTTTCCTTCTCTTCCTCCAACCCATGAGAACAAAATTACCAGTACCAACTCCTTAGTGTTCCCCTGCAAGGTTTCCCTGGTGGTTCAGACAGTAAAGAATCAGCCTACAATGCAGGAGACCCGGGTTCCATCCCTGGGTCGGGAAGATTCCCTGGAAGAGGGCATGGCAACCCACTCCAGTATTCTTGCCTGGACAGTTCCATGGACAGAGGAGCCTGGCAGGCTACAGTCCATGGGGTCACAAGGAGTTGGACATGACTGAGTGACTAGGCAGGCAGGCAAGAAAGAGGAGAGCTCACACTTACTGTTAGGAACTGTATCAGGCACTTGACATAATTGATATCTTTTAAGAGTCACAACAGCCCTCACACTAACCATGGTAATACCTAAGCTGATTGAGGGTTGGTTGGCCTCTGTGTCAAGCATTGTTCTAAGCACTTCACATGAGTTATTTCATGTAATCCTCACAGTACCTAGACATAAGGCCCTACTGTTATTACCCTTTTCTAGACCACACAGTCAACAAGTGGGAGAGCTGGGATTTTAAGTCATGTTTGGGGGCTTCCCAGGTGGCACTAATAGTAAAGAACCTGCCTGCCAACACAAGATACATGAAAGACACAGGTTCAATCCCTGGGAATATCCCCTGGAGGAGGGCATGGAAACCCACTCTAGTATCCTTGCCTGGGAAATCCCATGGACAGAGAAGCCTGGCAGGCTACAGTCCATAGTGTCACACAGAGTCGGACAGGACTGAATCGACTTAGCACAGCTTGACCCCAAAGCCCATGTTCTTAGTCACTACACTAAACTTTTGGTAAATAATGGAACTCAAATTTGAACCCAGGTCTGTGAAGAGCTCGCAAACCTAAGGTGCCTAGGTGAGGAGGTCAGATGAATAGAAATTGTGTGAAAAACTCTACCAGTCTGTGCATGAGGGGACAGGTGTGAGCACACACCTACACACACACACACCACATACACATGTAGTCACGCTCGCACGCTGAAGAGAGCTACAAACCAGTCACGGTGGATCTCCAACTGTTGCTGTTCTTCTGCTGGGCCACCATGTAAGCTGTTGCTGCCCTTCTGCTGGGCCAGCAGGTAAGAGCCACAGAGGCCGTAGCTACTCCAGTGTGGAGAATGTGGTTGAAACGGGCTGTGAGGAGACTCGTGGGGGTACTGGTAATGTCCTTTTTTTCTGAATCTGGGTGCTAGGTGGGTTCAGTGTGTGAAAATTCATTAAGCTGTAAACTTGTGAATTTTGTACACTTTCCAATGTTACTCATCAATACAAAGTTGTGGTTTTTTCCAAAGGCAAAAGGTTTAGGAAGACGAAAATTAAAGTGAAAGTGTTAGTCACTCAGTTGTGTCTGACTCTTTGTGACGCTATGGACTGTAGCCTGCCAGGCTCCTCTGTACATGGAATTCTCCAGGCAAGAATACTGGGGTGGCCATTCCCTTCTCCAGGGGATTTCTCTGACCCAGGGATCAAACCTGTATCTCCTGCATTGCAGGCATATTCTTTACCATCTGAGCCACCAGGGAAGTCGGTATAGACATAATTTTGCCAATTCCTTCAGCTAAGTACAACTGACAATTCTGGACAATATGTATGAAAAAACCACAAGAGACTTTGGAAGGTGGAGAAGGCAGACAGGCTACTAGGTTTTTGGACTCAAGCAATGACACATGGTGGTGAGTTTCCTGAGTTTTCTTCTTGCCTCATCTTTTCAGCCTTGGAGCTCAAGAAACTGACAACCTGGAAAGGCTAATGGTTGCAGATTAAAAAGCCCCAGGAAAAGTCATCTCTCTCTAGGAGGGGGACAGCTTAGCAAGATAGAACAAATTATTTTTATTTTTTTACATTCATTTATTTATTTATTTGGTTGCACCAGGTCTTAGTTGCAGCATGCAGGCATGTGAGATCTTTAGTTGGGGCATGCGAACCCTTAGTTGCAACATGTAGGATCTAGTTCCCTGACCAGGGATGGAACCCGGGCCCCCTGCATTGGGAGCACAGAGTCTTAGCCACTGGACCACCAGGGAAGTCCCAAGACAGACCATTTTAGATATGAAGCTCTCTAGTGTTGCTGAACACATCCACCAGCAAAGGCTGAGTAGGGAGCAGAGATTTCAACATCAGGCTCCCAAGCTCCCACCTGAGTCCCTTGTCAGACAGTATGCCAGAGAAGGCAGAGGAGGGAGATAGGTGGTAATTTGGTCCGTGCTTGGGCATCAGTGGAGACCACGTGGGGAGCCAGGACTTCCACACTCACAAGCCAGTCATTCGACTACTACCCTTCCCTTCCTGGCTGGGTGGTGTCAGACGCTCTAGTAGAGAGTTGAGACTTTCTCTCTCACCCAGCAGTAATAGAGCCATACCCTTTCCACCTGTGATGTCTATTGAGGCCAAGTGGGGAGCGGTAATGAGGAACTCCTATGCCTCTCAGTCAGGAGGTATCAGTGGAGACCTGGTGGAGACTGGAACACCCAACCCTGCCCACCAGTAACAGGAAGGTTCGCTACACAGTTGTCTGTGGAGGCTGAGTGGGGACCTGTTTTGACCCCCAGCTGGCAGTCGTGTGGTGGTGCCCCAATCCCCTCCCCTTTTTGTGTCAGAGCCCTATCAGAGGGAGCTAAACTGAAATAGAAGGCTTAGAAAAGATCCCCCTAAATTTGTCAGACACTACAGCACAGAGGATCTAAGGATGGCAAGTAAACACAAGAAAAGATGCTCAACATCATTAGCCTAGAGAGCACAGATGACAACCAGGGGACATTACTACACACCGCTCAGACTTGCTAAACACAAGCCAAAAATCCAAATGGTGACATCACCAAGGGCTGTGAAGAAACTGGACCATTCGTACACTGCTTCTGGGAATGTAAAATGGTGCAGCCACTGTGAAAACCAGTTTGGCAATTTCTGAAAGAAAAAAAAAAAGAACGAAACATGCAACTACTATAAGACTCAGCAACTATGTTTCTGGGCATTTATCCCAGTGAAATAAAAAACTTCTGTTCACACAAAAACCTGTACATAAATGTTCGCAGCAGTTTTATTCTTAATAGCACCACACTGGAAACACAGATGTCCTTAGATGGGTGAAAGGTTAAACTCTGGTACATGTATATCATGGAACTATTGATAACATGCATTTTGTATTAATATCCAGAGAATTAGGCTCAGTTTAAAAAGAAAAAAAGCCAGTCCCAAAAGGTTACATGCTGTGTGATTCTATTTACATTATACTCTTGAAATGACAAAACTACGGAAATGAAGAACAGATCAGTAGTTGCCAGGGACGAGGGAGGGTGCAAGGGTGGGAGTGAAGCGGCTGTGAGGGCTCCTGGTGATGATGGCACTGTCTGTATCTTGCTTGTGTCAATATATTGATTCTGGTTGTATATTACTCTAGCTCTGAAAGCTGTGACAAGCAGGAGAAAGTGGGTAAAGGGGGTATGGGATCTCTGAATTATTTTCCACAACTACATGCGAATCTGTAACTATCTCAAAATGAACATTTTAATTAAGAAGAAAGCAAGGATCCCATTCAGCATGGACACAAGGCTCTGAAGCCTTTGCCCTCCTTTGCAATGAGTCTCTGATTGCCATTCCCTAGCTGGGTTGCTGATGTAGGCTTCTAAATCTGGCCTTGGACCCTGTTAAACTGTTACCATAGATTTTCTCTAGTTAACCTGCTGTTTCCGCTCTTGCTTCACTCATGCCTACCTCCCAAATACACCAAAATCATCATCCCTGTCATGGAGCAGCAGATTATGGGTGAAGACTTTTTACACACATCTCCCTAATGGTCACATGCTGTTGTAAACTGTCTGTAATTTTTAAAATATCCACCTTTCTTTCTTGTAGAGCCTTCTCTGTTGGCTTCCATTTATTGTTCTCTTTTAGATAACCTATAATCCAGGTCTTTACCTTGTGCATTTAAAACTCTTTTTACCTTTCCTCACTGTTCCCTAGCTTTCCTCCTGTTCCATATCCTTCCCCCACTTTTCCTTATCCTTTGGATTCAAATATCCAAGATACTTAAGGCTGGCCCAGTTTGAAGCCCCACTACCTCAAGACTATCTGGGAAGGGCATTTGGGAAAAAATGTATTGATGACCACAACCTCTCTGCAGGCAGCCCCACCCCCCACGGTACCAGCATCCACCAGGTTCTGTTGCATTTTGCTGCCCAAGAGTACAAATTGGTCTTCTCTCTACCAACACTTCTCTCGCCCTGGCAACCCTCATCTCTCCCTTGGACAACTGCATGGCTCCATAACTGACCTTCCTCCACACTTAGCTCCACCCAATCCATTCTTCACATAGTGCCAGTCTATTTTATCTGTCTGGATCTGATCCTCTCAGGTCCCTCTTCAAAATTTCAGTGGTTCTTCTCTGCTCCTAGGATGAAGTTCACACTCCTTAGTATGTCTTACAAGTAGGATAGCATGTGATAGGTTCCTCAGTTATCCAAACCAGGACGGCAGGTAAGGGGGTGTTGTTACTAAGTACTCTGGGGTGGTAGGCATCCAGTCATTCTTATACCATCCTTTATGATCTGGTCTTACCACCCCCATTACTCATCACAGCTCCCCATCTTACCTGTAAACACACACACACACACACACACACACACCAGCCCCATTCTTTTTTTTTTTTTTTTGGCTACCTTGGGTCTTCGTTGCCATGCAAAGAATTAGTTGCCCCAGGGCATGGGGCATCTTAGTTCCCCAACCAGGGATCAAACCCTCGTCCCCTGCATTGGAAGACAGATTCTTAACCACTGGACCACCAGGGAAGTCCTCCTCAGCTGCATTCTTTTTTGCTATTTTTTTTCACCTGAAACACCCTTCTCCCCAAACCCCTTTGGCCAACTTGTAAGCAACTGCTTTAAGTCAAAATATTTTCTATGAGGAAGCTTTCCCTGACTTCCACCACTGGCTCAGGTGACCCTCCTGTGCTTCCATCGCACTTGGCTCTTCCTTCATCATAATCTCTATCACACCAAGTTGTAATGCCCTATTTCACCCTCTAGACAAGTGCTTCGGGTAAAGAACAGTTTCCTTTCTGAGTTCTTAGCATCTAGCACGGCACTTGGAATGTACTTACACTGTGTGCACTTTCCTCTCTGCTGAATGAGAATTGAGCACCGTGTTGTCACCCTGACTGCTGGTGACATAAAGGGGAAGAGGGGATCTGGACATAAAGGGGAAGAGGGGACCTGGCTCTAGCAGGTGCTTAGAGCCCTGAGGTGTCCCTTCCCTCCAGCCTGCTTGGCTCCCCCTGGTGGCAGCTGGATAGTAGTGACAGGCCCCGTGGGAGACGGCTGCAGGAAAAGGATGGGAGGGGGAATCCTCCTCAAGCCAGGTTTCAGCAGCTCTCCCCATTGCTGCAGCCCCTCCTGCATAGTAAGTCCCCAACCCCTGTCATCAGAGGCCCTACCCCAATAACTCTGAGGATGAGAACTACAGTTCAGTGGAATGGCTCCTGGCTGACTTACTGCTCTGTGTATTGCCTGGGTGAAATGGACAAGGCTGACTGTCCTGTTTTATATTCAAACCATGAATCAAAACCCCATTATGTGAGTGTGCTCATGGCAACCATATGGGTGAAGTGACAAGACCTGGCTGCAACAGCAGGTATGGAGGTGAACTTGGAGAATACAGATACAGAATTGAGCTAGTTGAAAACACCAAGGACAGAGAGGAATGGGACAAAGGCTTCTTGTCACTCTGCAAGGCTTCAGACATTTTTGTTTCAAAAGGAGCCTTCCCCTCCCTGTTTTTTTTCAATGTCACTCTTTACCTTTTAAAATTTTTACTTTTTGGCCATGCTGTGAGACATGTGGGAATCAGTTCCCTGACCAGAGATCAAACCCATGCCCCCTGCATTGGCTGTGTGGTCTTAACACTGGATTGGAAGTTCCCCTCCTGGCCTCTTCTGTTTTTTTTCACAGGTAGCTGCCTAGCTACTGGAGAAATGCGCTGGGGAAAAGACCTCGGGGAAAGGGAAAGATGGAGAAGAGTCAGACTCTGATGGCTGGCTTTGGTCTCCCTCCAGGCATGGGGTAGGGACAGTGAGCTGTCACCGGGGGGCATACAATAGATCAGCAGCAAAGAGGATCAACTGGAAGAGGAGCTAGCCACAGGGATTCAGCTGCAAGAGGAGCCAGCCAGCTTTCTGAGGCTCTGGGGTGGGTAAGGTTACCAAGGGTTGGGATGGAAGTTTCCCTGCCCCTCTGGGTTTCCTTTCCTTTCACTCTGCAAGCTAAAAACCAAGGGAACATGCTCAAAAACACAGGGCCTAAAGACCTTCATGGCATAATCAATGTCCTTAGGAACATCAGAGGCTAAGGCATCCAGGCAGGAGAATGGGGGAGAGGGGATGGAAGGTGGTGGATAGGCCCTCTGTGCTGAGATAGGAAAGCCGCCTCGGGAAGGGAGAAGCAGTAGGGTTTATTCAGCCCCTGCAAGGCCTTTACCATTGCAATCTTAGAGGCCAATTCAACTTCCTGAAAGCTTTAAGGAAAGAACCCTTGCTTCTTTCACCCCCTGTAGGTTGATATCACCCTTTGTATCTCCAGCCCTTCATTTCAATCCTTCTCCTTAACATACACTCAAGGGAGGGAGGGAAGGTATTTATACCCGTGACTGATTCATGTTGATGTGTGACAGATACCAACACAACACTGTAGAGCAATTATCTTCCAATAAAAAGAAAAAAACACTCAAGGGGATTCCTGGTGGTCCAGCAGTTAGGACTCAGCTCTTTCACTGCTGGGCCTGGGTCCAATCCTTGGTTGGGGAGCTACGATCTCACAAGCCACAAAGTGCAGCCAAAAGAAAAAAGCATACAGTGGGCCCACCACCATCCAAATGAACTAAATGTGACCTCAAATCAGTCTCCTGGTTATCAGATTTATGGGAAACTGACTTTACACTGCAATTTCCTTGAGATCTGACAACTAACATCTGGCCTTACATTCAATTTTATCCCTGAAACAAGTTTTTCTAACACAGGTTTTTCTTAACAGCATAAAGGTCTGAGGCAGCTAACATCACCCGGCAGAAATCACCCCAGAAGGGCAACCCAAGAAATAATGGCAAGGCCTGATGGATCCTAACTCTCATGTGTGCCTAGTACAAGGGATCTGAACATACCTGTTAGCATCTTAACTCCCCTGCAGTTGTCCTGCCAAGACCTAGACTTTGGAAAAGGTTATTTAGAATATTTCAACCAAGCGAGATTTTACAGAACATCAAGTCATCAAAAATCTGTCATAATTGGGAGAATTTGTTTTATTTTTAAACAAGGCGTGTAAGACTTCCAAGAAAAGCCCGAGAAAACAGGCCTCAAAATGTGGTGAAAGAATAAAGTGGGAGGAAGAGTCTTTAGCTGTAGCTCTATTTCAATCATGACTGTCAAAGGAACCGGTTTCAGGCTTCCCTCATGGTCCAGTGGCTAGGACTCCACGCTCCCAATGCAGGGGGCCTGGGTTTGATCCCTGGTCAGGGAACTAGATCCCACATACCACAACTAAGAGTTCACATGCTACAACTAAAGATCCTGCACACTGCAACAAAAATAGAAGATTCTGCGTGCCACAACTAAAACCCAGCATAGCCAAATCAATAAATTTAAAAACCTGTTTCCTGCATTGGCAGGTGGATTCTTTACCATGGAGCCACCAGGATCCCTAGAGGACCCCAAAGACACAGGGCCCTCCTATAAGGACCTCTTTTGGTCCTTGATGCACAGGTTGCAAAAGGCCTGTGCCTTTTTTCACGGTAATGAAAATGAATCCTGGGTGAAGGCGAGGCAAGGGAAAACCAGACACAGAGGAGACTGGGGCTCAGGGCTGCAGAAGCAAATCATCAGGGCTGAAGAAGCATCCATCTTGAGACTGGAGGTGCAGACTCAAGCCAGGGTAGGGGGCTGGCTCCAATTCCTGACTGTGAACATAAGGGTTATTCTTGCAAATAGGGTACTTACACTTTTAGTGGTCTCCAGTCCAAGTGGCGGGCCCTCAGGGTGGCAATGCAGAGCTTTCTATCCTGCCCCCACCCCCCACAACATGACTTCTTTCTGGAGGTCTCTTCCCCCTCCCCCACAACCAAGAGAGAGACGGCAGGAGGCCAAGTTAATAGGAGAGCTTTTTCTTTAACTTCAACTTTTACGTGATTCTAACCCTCAGGTTAAGGGCTACATACTATTGATGGGCAAGTTAAAAAAACTCCTGAGCAGAAAATGTTTTTATTCCAAATCTGGAAAAGCCCCAACTTGAGATGAAATAAACCTCTGATAAAGACATTAGGTTTGAGAGTTGCCCAGTTCAGCCTTGGTCTAAGTAATCTTTTCTCCAGTTCTAAGGGTAAGGGGAGGTGAGGGCATGTGAAATCAAACCTGGTGATGTCTTTTGCTCAGAAGCAATTACACGGCTATTAAGGCTACAGTTTCTTTTAAACTGTGCTTTCCTTGCAACTCCATTCAGCTTTTGTGCCTCCTCCCTGGCCCCTCCAGGCCTGTTCCTGCTACTGTTCCCCAGTTAAGAATTGCTTGCCATCCAGGACACTTGGGACTCTCTCACTGGAGGAAAAAAGAACAGTCCTGGCAGTACTTCGGGTACGATGCTGGGTGTCACAGGGAATTGAATCTTGACCTCCCCCCAAGCATAGGAATCAAAGATGGGGGCTAAGGGCCTTTCCTGAGGGCCTCAAAACCTCATCCTAGGAACTGGATTGCCCAAGAGGGCCCAGAGTATGGGGTCCTGATGTCAAAAAAATTCTGACATAGCAAACCCTGATTCACTGACCCAATACTTCAGGAAATAGCAGAATCAGCAATTTATGGCATCAGTGTTCCATGTCAGCTGGCCCCAGGGCAAAGACCTGAAATGAAAGAGGCCTAAGAGGGTCAGAGGAACACATTTCACAGCTCAATTCAGTTCCCTTTTGAATAACTTTTTCCAAAAGATTATTGTTAATACCCTGATATTCAATATAAAACAAAAACAAAAGCCGAACCAGGCTTCAAAGACAAGGCAGCACCCTTCACAAAGCTCTAGAAGCATTTAGTTTCCGAAAAAGTCAGTGCGCTTATTTGATGATACACACACACACACACTCACACAAAAAACCCTCATGTAACATTTTGGAATGCCTTATAACTAGAAAAGCTGAAATTAAATGCTAAATGTGTGTCAACTACAGATGGAGGGAAGTTTTAACCACATTTGGCAAAACTGGCTCAAAAATGAATAAATTTATAAAAACTACTCTCTTCCTCTAAGAAAAAAGACCTAATTCCTATCATCAGGATTAAGAACCAGAGATCCAACAGGCATATACAGCCTATAACTCAGGTATAATGCAAAGAATTACACTATATCTAGTTCTCAATTAACCCCAGGCATCTTCAGTTCTCATAACTGAAGAAAAGTGCAGCTGTGTCTATTCTTGGCTTAACCATACAGTTGACAGCTTGGAAACAAAGAAGTAAGAGCCATGATTGGGCGGCCAAGACACCTAAACCAAAGCTTCAGCAGGGAGACCAGTACAGATATAGACCCACAATCAAAGAGATAACTTTATTAGTTTCTTCTACAAGAGACAGTAATATCAACTTTTTTTAAACAGAAATCTCAGGTCATTTGAGAGGCCAAATAGATCCAAAGAAGAAAGATGATAAGCAGTTAAATTAATCAAAAGGCACTACAACACCACCTAAAACCTACTACCACAGTGGTAGTGGGCTAAGAAGATTAAGCTACAGCAAAATAATCTCATGTTAATGTTATGGATCACAGGGCAGGAACTGAGTTTGCTTCCCAGAAAACTATGGCACAACAATCACTTGGGACCAAGTGGATATTTGGCCAGGAAAAGAAGATCAGGCCAAAGGGAAAGGAATAGGGACAAAACAGAATCCAAGTGACAGAATCCAAGCAAAGGGTGATGGATCAGGCTTTTTCCTCCCAAGAATCATTTGCTCTATGGTGGGTTGCTTCCCCTCAGGCTCCTGCCCTAGGGTTTCTCCAGCCTTACAGGGGCTCAGCAACCAGATCTGGGTTCGGGTTGCACCAGGCTCTTGCATAATTTAGTACAGACTTTAGAGAACTTATCACACATTGCTGGGGGTGGGGGGGTGCTGAAGCATTCACATGCAAAGTAGTCTGAGTTTCCCCAAACATTATCTGGACACTCTACACAAAGCTTTCCAAAGTCCAACATCTTGGAGCAGCTGAATAGTTAAAGCTGCAAGGCTCACAAGATCCAAGAAGCCAGGATGAGACAATACAAGGTAGAAAATCCCAGCGGCTAATGTCATTCTATATTTCTCTAACGTATTGGGTTGGCCAAGAAGTTCATTCAAGTTTTCCCAGAAGCTGTTAAGGAACAACCCAAATGAACTTTTTGGCCAACACAATGGCAGTAATGCTCACATAACTGATGCGGGATGTAGAAAGCTACACTGCAACAAGCTGGGTCTTCTGCTGGATTTTTCATCAAATACCAAAGAAAAAAACAAGGGGTGGGGCTCACTTTATTTTTGAAAAGCCTCAGGAGTTATTCTATTATAAAGGGACATGGCTGAACAGATAGGAGACAGATTCTCCATTGTGAGTTCTCCTGATGGCTTCCGCGAGGATCATGGAGATGTCAATCACCTAGGAAGGCAAGGGGAGCATCGGGTTAGTATACAGACAGAGATGATTGACTGGTCATTGCAGACACTGATGAGCAGCCCAATGAGGGTCCTTCCTCTTAAGACTGCACTGTGCTGTTTCCCCAAGTAAGCCCACCACCAGCTGCTCTTCATACTCACATTTTAAATATAACCAACCACTTAAGAAAGAGTCAAAATGCTAATGGAGGAAACACTCTTGACTCACCAAGGTGGTGGTGGGCTGGCGTTTAAAAACCAGTTTGAAGGTTTCACATTATGTTTGCAGGGGCTGATAGGCAAGAGTGACACACACAAATGGTAAAGCATGGACCTGATATGCATCACAAACACTGGGAGAGTCTGTTAAAACACAAAATCCTGGGTTCCATCCTCCAGAGAGTCTGAGGTCAAGCTGTTTGAATTTTTAGACACATGATCCTTCCTTTTGGGTCACAGATCCTGATGGTTAACCCTTGAGAGCAATGGAGGAAATCTTCAGAACCCACCCAGACACCTAATTCAACACATGTAATCACCTCCTCAATACTCAGGGGAGTCTTGTTTTGCAAGAATCTCAGTCTCACCTGTATTTTGGAGCAATGCTTCATCTTATCCTCCTGAGGTATGGTATTGGTGACTACTACTGCTTCAAAGCATGCATTATTAATGCGAGAAATGGCTGGGCCAGAAAAGATTCCATGAGTCAGGATAGCATAAACCCTGGTGGCTCCAGCTGAGAGAAGTCTAGAGGAAAAAGGAGAGTGATTAGGAGTAATCTTACTTGTTACTATAAAATTCAAGTTAGTGAAGAGGGCTGTTTTAGTCAGCTTGCACTGCCATAACAGAATACCAGACTGGATGACTTAAACTGAATTTTATTTCTCGCTTGTTTCTGGAGGTTGGGAAGTCTAAGATCAAGGGGCCAGCAAGGTAGGTTTTGTTCTGAGACCTCTTCTCTTGGTTTACTGGTGGCCATCTTGCTATGTGTTTATGTAATCTATTTGTGTGCACAGATCGAGAGGAGGAATGGGGTTGGGAAGAGCTTTCTGGTGTCTCTTCTTATAAGGACACCAGTATCATCATGAGGGCCCCACCCTCATGCCCTCACCTAAACCTAATTACCTCCCAAAGGTCCCATCTCCAAATACCATCACACTGGGGGTTAGGGTTGAATTTTCGGGTGATACAGTTCAGTCAATAACTAATCTGAATAGGTTTGGATTAGTGTAAAAGGACTGTGGCACAGACAGCTACACTCAACAAAATCTGTCTCTTCTTCTTTCTAGTACACAGCTGGACACTTCCCAGCCTCCCTTGCATAGTTAGGTATGGCCAAGTGACTTAATTCTGGCTATCTAAATGTGGACAGATTCTTATAAAAAACTTCCCATGGATGATCCTCCATGCTCCTTTCCCTTTCTGGCTGGCCACAATGGAAATGTTAAAGATGCAGTGCCATAAGACTGAAAGGGGCACACTTGCACTGGAGCATACCAGGAACAGCTAAGTTTACTGTGTTAAGGGAGTTGATCTATTATGACCAATTAGCATTATCTTACTAATATGATAAAAGGAGTTTTATAAATCCATACTCCAGGATCCAAGCCAGGAAATCACTCCACATACAAGTTTTTTTTTCCAGCGCGTGCACACATGCGCGCGCGCACACATACACACACACACTGGAGAAGAAAACTGCAGCCCACTCCAGTATTCTTGCCTGGAAAATCCCATGGATAGAAGAGCCTGGCAGGCTACAGCCCATGGGGTTGCAAAAGAGTCAGACACGGCTTAGCAACTAATCAACAACATATATATATATATATGAGATTTTTAAAAATAAGAGAAACAATGCTGTCCATAGTGACTTGGATTATAAGCAGTGGGGAGCCACTTACAGTTTTAAAGGAGGCATGAGGGGAATCTAGTTTTAGGAAGATAAGCCAGTGGGGCAGCAATGTGAAAGATGGACTGGGAGGTAAGAGACTGGTGAATGGCAGCAGAAAAGAGGTAAGGTAATTCAGAACAGTGCAGGCAAATGATGAGAAGGAATAAGAATGAAGGAAGTAGCAGAAAAAATGGACAGTCTAGAGGTAAAGCCAAGGTTTTCAGCTTAGATAAAATATAAATATGGGAATATATTTGTCTGCTCAGGGCTATGGATTTCTTACCTTAACCTGTTTTAAAGAACTATCAAAAGTAGATTACTCAGGGAATTCCCTGGCAGTTTGGTGGTTAGGACTCCATACACTTTCACTGCCGAGAGCACAGGCTCAATCCCTGGTCAGGAAACTGAGATCCCGCAAGCCGCAAAGTATGGTCACAAAAAAAGTACAATACTCAGAGAGATGAGATTTTTTTTTTGGAAATACAGTGGTGATAGTTGCACAACACTGTGACTATAACTAATGCACTGAATTGCACACTTAAAAATGATTAAAATGGGGAACTTCCTGGTGATCCAGTGATTAGGACTGTTTTCACTGCTGTGGGCATGGGTTCAATCCCTGGTCAGAGAACTAAAATCCCACAAGGTGCACGACCCTCCCCAAAAAAAGTTAAAATGGCAAATTTCACGTTGTATATAGTCTAGCACAATAACAAGGAAAAATAAAACTAAGAAACTCTAGAGGAAAAAAAAGTAAGAATACTCGTCAATTTACATGCATTGCAATTCAAGCCTAGGGTGACAAAACAGTCAGTTAAAATTCCCTAAACTGAGTTCCAAAGAGAACCAGCAGGCTTAGGGCAGTCAGATAGTATTTTTTTCACATCTAACCCCCAGCCCCACCAGTAGGCACTCACTTGTCAGCTGCATGGCAGATTGTACCACAAGTGTCAGCCATGTCATCCACGAGGATGGCCACACGGTCCTTCACATCTCCTACTAGCACCATGCGGTCCACTTCATTGGCCTTCTTCCGTTCTTTGTGAATCAAGGCAAAGTCCACATTCAACCGGTCTGCGATGGAAGTCACTCTGCAACACAGGATAATCACAGTTAAAACCTCAGTTAAAACCTGTGTGTGTGTGTGTGTGTGTGTGTGTGTGTGTGTGTATCTTAAGACAAAGAAAGGAACTAAAGGATGGGCTTATTTTCTAGGTGAGAATACTCCATGAAACTCAACAGGGTTGGAAGAAAGTAACTGCAACTAATTGGCATCACAAATTGGGTTTCATAGACTAATGCCTCCATACTCCAAGATGTAGGCTAATGCCTCCCACATCCTAAGAGCAGTTTATGAATTATTAGTCAAACTTAAGATTAAAATTCATTCTGGGTTACAGAAGGAGATAGACAACCCTCACCAGTCCCAGGAAGCAGTATAATGAATGCTAGGGCATGTTTGTTTACTGGACTGGCAGCAGAAGAGGAGAGAGATACAACTTGGTTAACTAATGCCAGGAGTGTAGATGGTCCCATTATGACATGCGGATGTGGTGAGAAGTGAACCTGAATTTGGTGGGAGAGAAGCAGTACCCAGCCTGTTCTGTTGTGCCCTCATCACACTCCCCTCAGTGATCCACCAACTGTCAACGTCAACTGTACCTGGATACCAAGCTTGGGAGTTCCTTTAATGACTGCTAGAAAGAAAGTTATACCAATTAAGCAGGCAAACTGGGCATCTTGCTGTACAGACCAAAGGATTTCCAAATCAAAACAGAATTCCTTTTGCTTGAATTACAAGGTAATACAAACCAGACTAGAAGGTGGGATAGAAGACAAATCTGTCTGGTGACAAAGTACCACGTAATCTATCAATCAGCAATCCATTCAGTGTATGACTGTGCTGCCTGTAACATCTGTGGCCACATTTCACCCTGCCATCTTGTTATGTGTGAAGAGGCTCTGTGCTTTGGGCTTTGTTTTTTAATGTAGTGCTGATCCAACCAAGTATCATGTCCTATTTCCCTTGTGACTACGCTCACATATCTTGAGTTTGTGCAGAATATGGGAGAACCTATGACCATACAATAGAGAACAGACAAGACTTGGACCACAACCTAGGCAGCATCTGCACCTGATCTAAACGACCCATATCCTGTGTGCTCTCCATTCCTACTGTGTGGGCACATAACATCAAGAGTTATCAATCTGCTTGGAATGATTACTTAGATGAGGCAAATGCATGATCACTTAGTTCAAGCATCCTAAGCCATCCATACTCAGTGGCCAACAAACTCAGTGACTGACAAAGTAAAGGGCTCAAAAAAAGCCACTCCCTATATCCTTGAGGGAAGAACTACATGCAAGTCACAACTTCACAGGCATTTCTACCTATTCCCCAAACCCTGCCAAGAAAGATGTGATAGCCACTCACTTTCAAAAGATTCCATCACTAAAAGAAAATTACAGGACTTCCCTGGTTAAGAATCTGTCTGCCAATGCAGGGGACACAGATTGGATCCCTGGTCCAGGAAGATTCCACATGCCTCAGGGCAACTAAGCCCGTGCACCACAACTACTGAACCTGTGCTCCACAAGAGAAGCCACCACAACGAGAAGTCCACACAGCACAACTAGCCTCCACTTGCCACAACTAGAGAAAGCCCGAGAGCAGCAATGAAGACCCAGTACAGTAATAAATAAATAAACAATTTAAAAAAGAAAACAGTAAACAAAATTATGGAGCAATAAACCATCTACTGAAGGCAGTTTTTCTGTACCCAACTGTGGAAAGAAAATTGTGCTTGATTACTTATTTCAAATGAGACTGTTTTCTAAGTCTCTGTGGAAGATGATCTTCACAAGTCTGACAACCACTGCGAGGGGGATGTGTTTTAGGCTCTGTTTCTAGTATTATAGACGGTAACTAGCAACAACAAGGGACTCACAAAGCCATGCATCTGGCTGGAGAATAGAACTCAAGCTCTCAGCTTATCAGTTCTGTTGAAGTTCGTGAAATAAAGAGGTCGCTGAGAAATAGTCATTGAAAATTTGAATGGCTTTTGCAAAGATGTGAATTGGCATTTCCTAATCATCTGTGTTTTGTAGCTCGTCATTCTATTTCCACAACAAGAAGAACATGTGTCATACTTCTGAATACGTTACTAACGAGTGAGCCACTAAGGAACTGAAAAGCTCTTAGTCTGTAACCACGTGAGCTGAAGCACTGCAACTGGCAATCCCTGACAATCAGTTTGTTTCGAATGTTCAGTGCTTGGCTTAAATAAAATCACCACACTTTCTTTTCCATCCTGCTTAGTATTCTAATTCAAAAGATCAAAATGTTTTAACCAACAACTTTAAGAGGTATGTAAAAGCTTGTGCATGAGTGCTAGGTTGCTTCAGTGTGTCCGACTATTTGCGACCCTCTGGACTGTAGCCTGCCAGGCTCCTCTGTCCATGGGATTCTCCAGGCAAGAATACTAGAGTGGGTTGCTATGCCCTCCTCTGGGGGATCTTCCCGACCCAGGGATTGAACCCATGTCTCCTGCCTTGAAGGCGGATTCTTTACCCCTGAGCCACAGGGGAAGCCCATGTAAAAGCATCATCATGGGTTTTGATAGTAAGTGGCATTCATTAGAAAATCAAATTGCCTCCTCCTCCTAATGGATCATAGTGCTGTCACTGACCCTGCAGTGCTGAGTCACTGATGGATTTTGGTCAAGTCCATGATGCCAGAACTATTTCATGCCCCTCTGCTGCTATCTTATCTTTCAGGCAGTGACTCAGGCCAGTAAGTGAGTAAAACCATATCCAGCCCATGTCCTAAGCTATCAGAACATCCAAATACTTTAAAACTGTTGCTTCTCAGTATATTATAATCACCTATACTGAAAAAGAATTGGAAAAAGACTTTATACATATGTAGTCTTTATAGTCTTTTTCAGACCACTTTGCTGTATACTTGAAGCTTAACACTGTAAATCAACTATACTTCAAGAAAAGAAAAACTCAGTTCAACAGCAAAAGATCACTTTCTGACACAACTGTCTGAAAACTTTCCCCAGTATGTTGGGAATAATATGAATTTCAACCATACCTCTTTGCTCCTCCAGCATCAGGTGAGACAATTGTGCAGTTCCTCCACTCAGAGATGTTCTCCCTTATCCACTTGAGGACCGCTGGCTCTGCATACAAGTTATCCACTGGGATATCAAAAAAGCCCTGCATAAAGAAAGAACCTGGGTCAGTTTGGCTTGTTTTCCTTCTCTTCCATTTACAAACAATGAACACAAAGAGAATAGTAACCTGCCCAAAGAATACTTTACTCGAACATTCAAACTGATCCAAAAACATGCCCAATATGGCAGACTGTAAAAGCAGACTCCTAGAGTGTGGGTTGTGCAAGAAAGCCCAGCCACAAAGTGAGCCCCCGGCTAACCCACAACTGACCATAGACACATGAACAAGCTCCTGAGGAAAACAGCCAAGTCCAGCCGAGATCAGAACTACCCAGCCAGTGTGCAGACCCATGGGGTAATACATACTTACTACCTTCTACCACTCAATGTTGGGCTGGCTTGTTAAGAGAGCCAAAGCTAACTGGTAAACCAGTTAGAGATGCTATGGTATATAAACCTAGTGGAAGGCATTTATAATAAATGGTCAGATTAACTAGCAGTCAAACGATTTGTGTTCTAATACTAGTTGCTACAGATTTGTTGTACTTCACAACTAATCTGTCCCTCTTCTATAAAATGGATATATAATCATCTGGCCTGTATCTCACTGAATTCCCAGAAGCCTCCAAAGATAACGATTTCAAAGTCTCTTTAAAAGTATCAACTATAAGGTAGTATTCTGCTCCCCAAACTCTTTTAATGCTAGAAAGTAGGCTCCAATATCTATGGTTCTAAATTTAATGATGACAGTATAAGTGTCAGAGCCAGTATTAAAACTCAGACTGATGCCAAAGCCTACTATGCTCTTCCCAGAATCCCAAACTGCCTCCCTGTACAACTAGCCCACATGACTAAGACCATGAATTATACTTCAGGTGAGGATGTTGAAAATGTCATCAATGTCTAGTTTATTTGAGCTGTACTTGGACAGTTTTTGCTTCCCTGTGGTTTTCAGCATTCCATCCTCTCTTACCCCATGTCTAATCCCTAATAATCCCTAAGCTAATATTTAGCTCCCAATGATACCTGAATTTGAGAAGCATGAAGGTCCATGGTGATAATATGATCTGCACCTGCTACAGAGAGCATATTTGCAACCAGCTTGGCTGAGATCGGAGCCCGGCTCTAAATGGAGGGAAGGAAAGAGGAAAAAAAGCCAATCTGAAAAACAATTCATTTGCTCAAGAAGCATTTATTTATTGTATACCTACTGTGTTTAAGGCACTGTGCTACCAGAAAATTCATAAAAAGTGACACAGCCACTGATTTTCAGTTCATCACAATCTGACAAAAATAGGAAGTGGAATATCATTTTTCCAAATCAGGATACATACATCAGAAAAAAACCTTCCCAACCTTTCACTTTCTTCATGTACATATTTTCAGCCTAGTAAAGTCTTTCCAATGCTCAATTATTTAAATTAGGCAGACTGTATACAAATCTTTTTTGAAAGAATTGTATTAAAATCTCTTTTAAGACATACATACTCAAACCTGTGCAACATCGAACATGTCAACATTTAAAGACACATTAAAGGATGGAAAGTATAGTTTCATTTTTTTAATTACACCACTCCCTTTACTCATCCAGAGGCCAAACTTTCAGTAAACTCAACCCCTTTAAATAACAGGTAAACACACCTGACTGCACCCTAAAATAACAAGGCCCATGTCCTACACTCTACTCCTTAGGAGCACTGTATTCTATTGAAATAAAAGTATCTGGCCTTCTCCCAGGTATCGTACATATTAATAAAATTTGGGCATCAATTACCATGGACTGGCAAAGTTTTACCTATATGCTTTATCCTCTAATACTCCAAAGAAGGTGAGGTGTGCATGTGTGTATTCATGTAACAGACTTCAAGTTATATGAAGAGGTAACAACTATAACCAAGAGGGTACCAGAGGATCTACCAGTTTAAAAAAAATACTCTACTCCATGGGAGCTGGTGCTTAGTCTTAATGATACAATGAAAAAATTGCACTGAGTTAGCCAAAAGTCACATATGTATGACTGGGATAAAACAGACAGACTGCAAATGTATTGCTTTATACAAACTAATCACACCGATGTTTGAAAAGATAAACAAAATAATATCCTAAGATAAAAAAATAATATCCTCTAAATATACATTTGATAATTAAGGAAGTTTTTTGACTTTGGGCAAGTGCTCCTGCTTCTCCTGATTTAAGAAAAAAAGAATTGAAGAAAAAAGAGAGATTCCACTCCTACCTTATCCTTCTTATCCTGCCGGGCATAAGGGAAGCACGGGATGACTGCAGTAACCCGGCTGGCTGAAGCAATCTTGCAGGCATTAATCATAATCAAAAGTTCCATGAGATTGTCATTGATTTCACCGCAGCCACTCTGAACAATGTAGACATCCTCTCCACGAACACTTTCTCCGATTTCCACACTATAGGAAAAGGAAGGACAACAAAAACAGATTTTAAAGCACTATACTGTACATCTACAGTAAAGTCTAAAAAACACAGCTTCCCCACTAGTATGCTATGAATGGATTACAGGAGATTCCCCTGGAGGAGCCCCTGTACCAGAAACCGCGTACTGCCTGTTTACTCCAGTATACTATACCTGTTTTTATAGGTGACATGACATGAAAAAATTGGCTAAGGTACTTAGTAATTGGACCATAATTTCAGTAAGCAGGCTGTATCTCATTTCACATGTGTGAATGCAAATTTGATACAGCATCTATGACTGTTATCAATATATAATAAAGGAACCAGAAAGCTCATACAAGGAATGAATCACTACTGTTTTAGAATGATGCCTTCTACAGAAGACCGTACCACGTCTACCACATTGGCAGTTCACTGAACAAATATTAAATGTTCATATGCCAGTCACTGTTCTAGGTGCCAGGGACACGATGATGGAGAACAGATATGGTCCTTGCCTTCATTCTATGCTAACTGTATTCTGGTCCAATTAGTAAGTCTTATTTTAAAGAATTCCATAGAAGTTACTCTAATTATGGAGTAAGGCTATATTTTACTATAAAATGCAAGTTTTAATATTTGTACTTGGATCCTTACCAAGAATAACTTATTAAAAATAACAACCTCACTGATACCTCAAAGCAACACCATTTCGCCAATTAATCTTGTAGGTGACGCGGGGGAGAGGGGAATGTATGGGTATATGTACATGCGTGCTTATGTAGGCAAGTAGATCAGAACAGTTAATAACCTGTACTGATGAAGAGGAAAACTGCAACAGGACATAATTCCATTGTCAGAAGCTGATATCAGAGATAATTATTATTTAAAACTTATTTGTTCCCAATCCAAATAACAGTTGTAAGGATCCTACTTTTTAGAAGAATGGGGTTACTTTATATTATAAAGCAAGAAAAATAAAAGCAAATGGTAAAAATCAAGCCAGAAACCAGTTAGAACAGGGATGTTGAAATTCACAGTAGTCCAAACAAAGACGAAAACATATTAGTTTGGGATATCTGGAGATAAAAACCTTCAGGCACTGAAAAATGGGCAAAATGAAACCAAAATAAGCAGAAGGAAGAAACCAGACATAAGAGCAGAAACCAATGAAACAGTAAAACAATAAAGAAAAACCATTGAAACAAAAAGCTCTTGGTGGGGGGTGAATCAATAAAATTGATAAACCTCTAGAAAGGCTGACCTAAAACAACTTTACCAGAGAAGCTTACCAAACATTTAAAGAATTAACATGAATGCGGGGGACTTCCCTCATGGTCCAGTGGCTAAGACTCCAAGCCGCCAATGCAGGGGGCCCAAGTTAGATCCCCAGTCAGTGAACTAGATCCCACGTGCCCCAACTAAGGTCTGACACAGCCAAATAAATAAATAAATACAAATTGAATTTTGCATAATCTTTTCAAGAAAATAGATGAGAATACTTTGCAACTCATTTTATGAGGCAAGTATTACCCAGATACCAAAGCCAGACGAAGGCAAGATAAAAAAAGAAAACTGCAGAGGAGGAGGAAGACAAAAATGGGTGTGGTTGTAACAGGACAAAAGGAAGGATCCTTGTGATGACAGAATTTTTTTTTTTCTTGGCTGTATCAATGTCAATATCTTGGTGGTTGCAACAGCCAAGAAAACTACAGTTTGGAAAAACTAGAGTTGGGAACCTTGGGAAAACTGCATAATGGGTACACAGGATCTCTCTGTGTTATTTCTTACAATTCCATGCTAACCTACAATGACTTCAAAATTCGATTTTAACAATTATACCTTGTGTATACTTGAGTAAATTACTACAGCCTTCAGTGAAACCTGAGGTCATAAACTACTGGGTTGGCCAAAAAGTTCATTTGGGTTTTTCTCTAACATTTTATGGAAAGAACTTTTTGGCCAGTCCAATATATCTAAAAACAGGCACTTCTGTAATAAGTCAAAAGAAACTAGTCCAATTGTATTAATATTTTCTGAGAAATGAGTTCTAGTTTGAGGTTAACTTGAGAAGTAGCTCATCTGGAAAAATATTTTCTCCCTAGTTTACTAGGCATCAGTCAAACTGTCTTCCTTTACATTCCTTGAATTCACCCTTTCCCACCTTTGCACACATATTCCCACTATCTGGAATGTTCTTCCTACTCATTAATTTCTTAGGTCTCCAATCAAAATATCATTTCTGACCATCTTAATACAAGTGACTTACCTAAGAACCAATAAGATTAAAAATGACTTTAAAAATATCAACCAATTGTATTGTGTGAACCTTATTTGCATACTAATTCAAGTAACTGTTAAAAAAAAAACCACATTACTGTTAATTTGTTTTAGGCAAGAAAATAGTATTATGGTCAATGAAATGTATGCCAGTGATATGACAGAATATCGAGGTTTGCTTCAAAATAATCCAATTATGGGGAGTGTGGGGAGGGGGAATATTAGATGAAACAAGATTAGCCATGAATTGGTAACTGCTGAACCGGGTGATCAATTCTTCGGCACTCAGCTTTCTTTATAGTCCAACTCTCACAACCATACATGACTACTGGAAAAACCATAGCTTTGACTAAATGGACCTTTCTTGGCAAAGTAATTTCTCTGCTTTTGCTGTCTAGGTTGGTCATAGCTTTTCTTCCAAGGAGCAAGTGTCTTTTAATTTCATGGCTGCAATCACTATCTGCAGTGATTTTGGAGTCCAAGAAAATAAAGTCTCTCACTGTTTCCCTTGTTTCCCCATCTATTTTCCATGAAGTGATGGGACCAGATGCCATGATCTTAGTTTTCTGAATGCTGAGTTTTAAGCCAGCTTTTTCATGCTCCTCTTTCATTTTCATCAAGAGGCTCTTTAGTTCTTCACTTTCTGCCATAAGGGTGGTGTCATCTGCATATCTGAGGTTATTGATATTTCTCCCCGCAATCTTGATTCCAGCCTGTGCTTCATCTAGTCTAGCATTTCTCATGATGTACTGTGCATATAAGTTAAATAAGCAGGGTGACAACATACAGCCTTGACATACTCCTTTTTCTATTTGGAACCAGTCTGTTGTTCCACGTCCAGTTCTAACTGTTGCTTCTTGACCTGCATACAGATTTCTCAGGAGGCAGGTCAGGTGGTCTGGTATTCCCATCTCTTTAAGAATTCTCCAATTTGTTGTGGTACTGGAGAAGACTCTTGAGAGTCCCTTGGACTGCAAGGAGATCCAACCAGCCCATCCTAAAGCACATCGGTCCTAGGTGTTCACTGGAAGGACTGATGCTGAAGCTGAAACTCCAATACTTTGGCCACCTGATGCGAAGAACTGACTCACTGGAAAAGACCCTGATGCTGGGAAAGATTGAGGGCAGGAGGAGAAGGGGACGACAGAGGATGAGATGGTTGGATGGCATCACTGACTTGATGGACATGAGTTTGAGTAAGCTCCGGGAGTTGGTGATGGATAGGAAAGCCTGGGGTGCTGCAGTCCATGGGGTCGCAGAGTCGGACATGACTGAGCGACTAAACTGAACTGAACTGGGTGATGGGTGCAAGGCAGGAAGATCATTTTTTCCTCTACTTCTGCATGTATGTTTCAAATGTTCTATAACTGAGTTAAATAAATAAAGTGACTCTCCCCAGTTATTCTTTCATTATCCTGGTTATTCTTCTCAGAACACATCACAATTTCTCATCACCTTATTTTTTATGCACTTGTTTATCTGTCACCCTCACTAGAATGCAAGCCAGCTCCATGAAGGCAGGAACCGGATCTGTCATGTCCAACTGGCCAGTGCCAATAACACAAAGAATGAATGAATGAGTGAATGAATGAATACCACTCAGGATTAGGATGCCCCTTGAATCTGCTCACTTTAAAGCAGAATATGAACCTTCTGTAGGCCTATTGTTGTGAATTCAGAAGACTGTTGATTGTCCCTCACAAACTAACTCACCTCACACTAGAGGTAAGTGGGCCCAACATGTTTCTTCAAAAGGTTTTGACAGATCTGCTCATCCCTTGAACAGATACTCAGCTGACAGATATTTAATTTGGGGTGGAACTACAACCTGAAGAGTTCACCAGGATTCAATGGCTACAAAGAATTTTATGGTGGGATCCTGAAATAGTGATGCCAAGCAACATAATGAGCCAAACATCAATTTTGTGGACCCCGAGACACAGTTGGACAGACATCTATTAATCACCAAGATCAGCCTTAAGAAACAACTAAAGTGGGCTTTCCTGGTGGCTCAGTGGTAAAGAATCCGCCTGCCAATGCAGGAGACTTGAGTTCAATCTGGAAAGACCCCACGTGGGGTGGGGCAACTAAGTCCATGCACACAACTATTGAGCCTGTGCTCTAGAGCCGGCAAGCCACAACTACTGTGCCCACGTGCTGAAACTACTGAAGCTGCAAACCCTAGAGCCCATGCTCCGCCACCGCAATGAGAAGCCTGTGCACCACAACTAGAGAAAAGCCCACACAGCAATGAAGACCCAGCAGTCAAAAATAATAAATTTTAAAAATTATTAAAAAAAAGGCAACTAAAGGGACTTCCCTGGTGGTCCACACTCCCAATACAGGGAGCCCAGGTTCGACCCCTGGTCAGGGAACTAGATCCTCCATGGCACAACTAAAGATCTCACATGCTGCAAGGAAGATTGAACATCCTGTGCACCACAACTAAGACCCGGGGCAATCAAATAAATGTTTTTAAAAAAGAAAGAAAGAAACAACTAAATCTGTCAGCAATGTCAACTACGCTAATGCCAAAATTGCTTTCGGGAGATGTTGTTCTAAATCCAAATGGGCAGGTAGGAGGGGACCAGAGAAAGCTTCCTGGAAGAACAACTTGCATGTTGTCCAAAAGTAGGCCCAAGAGCACTACTGTCCAATAGGGGAGTCACTGGCCTCGTGTGGTTATTGAGCACTTGGATGTGGCTAGTGCAACTGAGGAAGGGAACTGAGATGC